GATCTTGCTCTTTGAGTTGTGCAAATGTTGGAGGTATCGATTTATTAGCTGAAACATCGGAATCATGACAGAAGTGAAAAGAAGCCGATGTCAAATGTATCATGGGAGCAGGCACATACCTTTATAACCAGCCATAAGCTCCTTGAACGAGTTTTTGGGCTTCTTGGATTTTGGTTGTACAACCAATGGCGGTATGTTAAACAATTTACGTATCGCAGGCGTTCGGAATGCACCCGCATATAGAAGTGAAATGAAATTTGAGGCACACCAGTAGACGCAAAGGCCCTGCACGAAAAAAATAAATGAACTTGAGGGAAAAGAGATGCAAACGCTCTCACCGTAGCAAATTGCGAGCTGACGCCAAATATAATTATCGGCAATACATACTGCATTCCTATCCGCATTCCCGGAGTCATTTGGTCAGCAGACGTACCCATTTCTATGCCGACCTTCAGAGAAAATATGGTGCAAAAGAAGTATTTTGCTATTTACAGAGACTTACTCGAGTAACCAAGCCCATCGTTACTGCACTAATAAGAGGTAGAGCATAGTAAGGATCAGTGACGGTCAAGTCTGGAAACCATGCCGTGCCTCCAGTCGAAAGGCCGGGGTAGTTAACCTAAAACATGCACACCATTTATCACAGACTTTCTGAATTTAATAAAGAAAAAAAATATAAAATCAACAAAAACCATAGAGCATACACATCTGGATCTAGGATTAACACATTTTTTGCGTCAGATGTGATTTTTCTAAAACCTACATCGACCATCCGTCGAATTGCGAAGAACTGTGTAGCAAAAACAGCTCCGTTTGCTAAAAGAATGAAGAACTGCCGTCCAAGACGTATGTCTTTCGACTTCAAAAAGTCCCGCTGCTCCAAAAATATTTGCTGCTCTGAAAGTATATCAACTCACTCGTAACGTCCAGTATAACCTCTTTCATTACTTCTAAATGGTCCAAGTCATGCTTCTGTCAGTAGAAACATACTCAGGTATATCCGAAAAGGAAACTCACGCAGAAGATTGTTGCCCTCTCTGCGAGCATCTTCTAGACGTGCTCGAAATTCATCTAACTCTTTCTTGTACTGACTTTGTTTAGCGACCAGCCGTTGAGACATAATAGGAACGATAATCAAAGCAAGCCGAAGAGCAACGGTGGCTGCAATGCACAGACTTGAAGATTTTCATTCGTACGAGAAAATTCAGTGTATTGACATAAAGTTTCTAAAAAATGCAAAATTCAAATATGAGCACAACTTTTCCTGCAAAGCTACAAAACGTAATCAAGGATCATGCCACATAATACGAGAAAAGTATGCAATACGCGACTCACTAATGGCATAAAAATCGCTACTGGAAAATAGATGCAATAATAAAGCATATTATCCAAAATGACCACTCACCACAGACTATAGTGGCCCACCATGGAAGATCTGCATGCATATGTATGGCTTCCAGCGCCATCCGGAAATAACTTGACGGCTTCCACCATGAGATTAATCCCAATTCGCTAAGAACGGACTCTCCTGCCTGAAAATAATTGAGGGAAGGCTTAGGCACTAACCAACCAGCAATCTACCTCAACCATTTCTGCAATGGATCTTCCAGGTGGCGGTGGTATTGGCATAGCCGGAATGTCAGGTGCAGCCTGAATCTGCTATGAGACAATGGAGCTTGGTGCAAGGAAGCACTGTAGAACAGATTTTACTTTTACCGTCGGAGATACCGTAAATTTTGATTTCAAAGCAATCACACATGAATATGAGGTGTAATTAGTACAAAAGTCTACTCACTTGAGCTGCATAGTCGAAAACGTCTTTGGCAGATATGCACCTCACCTGGAATCGAGGAAAGCTCATATTTACTGCCTTATATTTACAAGGTCAACACACTGAACGCAGTAATGCTACCTGCTGTGCCCTGAAAGCTCCTACACGACAAGCCGCTTCTATCGCATAGGTGCCGCGGCGAAGCGCGACCCGCGGCACGGAGAGCATTCCCCTGCTATGTGTGTTAGAAACAGTGCGTTTTTTGCAAAAGCAAGAGATACGTGTAGCGCTGACTTTTCAATGAAAAAACAGAGAAACACCGAGAAATTTATTCGACTTCCATGAAAAAAAAACAACTAATATCGTTATGTTATGCTTATGTTTCATGTAAGCAATAGAATACATCATCAGTGCAAAAAAAAATAAACTACAGCGAGTGTAAACAGCTCATTCAGAATGAAAATGGAGGTAAACTTTGCACATTTCCGAGTACAACGAATCAACCAAAGGTTAGAATAAACTATACAAAACACAGATAAGGAGATCTCACAAACATCCAAAAATTCGTCCAAATTTGTGCACACAATCTTAGAGACTCGATCTGTCATACGAAGAAAATCCTTACAGCTAAGTGCTGAGCAATTCAAACTTTGAACTGACCATAATATTCAGAGGGGACGCAAACAAACCTAATAATATAATGGGTTATAGGTAATCCAGTGTTGGGCGGGTTTGTTTTTGGCCTCTTCACAAGTTGTAAACAATTTTTTATAGGCCTCAGATTTCGTGGGATCAGACTGAATATCGCTTTCATGTTTTCGCTTTTCTGCTTTTTTGTGTTTCTCTTTGTCTGAAACAGAAGAGTCATCATTCGAGGAAGACGATCCTAAAAATCATTCGATTTCACAAGTGCGGATCTTGCGCTGGAGAGTATAACAAAACAATAAGTGATAACATCGAAGGAAAAATCCCACTCACCACTATTTTGCAAATGCTTATAAGCATCTTTCTTGTGTCCGTGTTCTTCCTTCTTATGCTCACCACTGGCAACAGCCTTCTCAGCGCTTTCTCCGTTAACCTTTTCTACACCATTTTCTCCGTTCTTCTTCTTGTTCTTCTTCTCTGCACGTTCAGCAGCTAACTTTTGTTTGTATTCTTCCAAAAGATCCTCATCTGGATATAAGACCACTGAGTCTTTTGGATCCCAAGGGCCAGAGCATCCGTAGCACACATCCGACTTCACCTAAAACGGTTGGTTGATAAGAAAACAGGTTAACAGAAATGCTGGCAACTAACCTCTTGCACTGCTTTTTCTGAGAATACACAGCCACACTTCCAGTTCACAATGAACTTGTTGATGCCATTCATTGGTAGCGAAGTTACGGGGCAAAGGAATTCGGACTGATAACTGATTTTTAGGAGGACATGGGATGTGAATTGTAGTTTATGATTACCTGATTGCTGTCCAAGTATTCGTCTCCTTTTACCTCGTCCTTCTTAAAGTCCTTATTCTCTCTCAATTTCAGCTCTTTGAAATCCTAAATGAAATGGCTACATGTATTCTCGTACTGCACTATTCCGTTTCTTTCAGAAAGGCCAATTTGGCAACATTAGAAGGAGGAAAAGAAGAACAAGCTCAATATAACATGTTGAGTAAAGCCAACTAGGAAAAGTGGTGTAGTGCAAATCCTTCGGCACCTTGGTTTTCTAGCATACCGCTTGATTGCTTAACAGAATCGAACAAATGCAAAAAGGTTTCGTTACCCCAATCTTGAAAGATTATACGATGTTGGCTACACTACAAGAAAAAGATGATTATGGAAGCTGCTAACTATGACGAACGATCACTTCCATGAATACCACTTAAATCAGATTGATACCTTCTCAAAAAAATAACAAAATTAAGAATATGAAAAAAAGACTCGACAAAACCCACCTTCAATCCTTTGATATGTGCGGCAGCCTCATAGTTCTGGATAGTTTTCGTGAGTATAGCTTCAATGACCGTTTCTTTGTTGTACAAACGACCATATCGGCAAGCGATGATTGGTTTCTAGAAAGTATATTAGAGTTTCGCAAGAAACACAGGAAAATAAGTCTACATAATAAGCAGCAAAAGACAAATGAACAAAATTCATGACAAATGAACAAAATTCGTAACTTCAACGAACATTTACAAAGAATA